CCCCCCCCCCCCAAAACCACAACAAAACAAAAAAAGACCTCAACTCAGGTTTAACCTTACCATATTAACCAATCAATACCTCCTCAGCATTTGAGAAGTAAGCCTACTCATTGTATGTAAGAGACTTACACTTGCCCTGCTTTTTGTTCTCCTCCATCTCAATTCTGCGTTCCCGACGCCGCTCATCACGAGCTTTCTTCTGTCGCAGCCGTTTCCTCTTTTCAAGGTCATCTAACAGATGCACAGATCATTGGTTATCAGGTAAAAGTTAGTGCTGGGTAAAGTGTCTTATTTAGGGAGCTACATATTTCTAATTCATTGAGACACCCTTGAATAAGCAAATGCAGTTTCCATGTTCTCCTGAAGACTGATCCTTCTTAACTACTGTCTAATCTTCTACCTCATACTTCCTTTATTCTGCACAGAAACAAAATGTCTACATTATGGAACACCTCAAAACTTGTTTAGAGCCTGCATAGGGCAATTCCTAGTTCCAGCCAGCCTAATTCCAAACAGCTACTATGGCACAAATGCACAATGGCCATTAATGTTCTTATCTCTCTGACCTCCTGGCTGCAAAAACAAGCACTACTTTTCCCAAGCACTAACCTGAAAACATCTCTAGGGTTTCCTTGGAAAGGATGGGAGTCTTCAGAGCCAGTTCACAAATGCTGAATTCGCAGGTGAGAGGCAAGTGACATAGGTAACGATGACGCTGTCTTATATCCTACAAGGACAGAATAGAGGTCTCTACTAAGCCAGAACCCAGAGTAAGTGCCTCTCCCTTCCTCACCACATAGTCACTTGCATTCCAGGTTGTACTGTAACCCTCATCCCTGCACAGAAACACATTCCCAAACAAACAAAACGCATCTAACAGGCTTAAGTATGTCTCTTATACATCTCTTTGTGGTGAAGAAGTGAGTAAGCCATCAGATCCAGGAATATCTGGCCTCTACCACAGCACCAATGTAGAAAGCTACCCTTTACCACCTTTACTGGGGTTTTTTGTTTTGTTTTTTTAAAAATCAATTCTGTATGGTGCACACCTTTGAATGTTACCATTCTGACTTATTCTGCATGGCTTCTTTCTGTTCTTCCTACCTCTAGTTTCAAACTATGGATCAGCAATTTTAGTTCTTCCAATTTTTTTTGCCCAGGTTCCTTGCCTTTGTGTACAAAAACTTTCAGGTTGCTGGCCTTGGTTTCCTAGTTGGATTAGCCCTTTCATTAACTCAAGTCTCCTACCTGTCCGCTGCTCTCAGTTAGGATTTTTCTATTTTCTTGCTCACTATCCACCTGCATCCACTGAACTGATACTTCAAATACTCTTTAAAAGATACCTCCAAGAGCTGCAGCAAGCAGATCCCAACTCCACCCCCACCAGAGAAAGAGCTCCAGCAAGTATTGGAGAGTGTTCGACAATCACTTTAGATGCTCCTTCCTATCAGTATCTTACCTACCACCATCAGGGTGGATTTGATTTAAATCACTGGTCAAGAAGGCTCAATTTAATCATCATCATCTACAAAAAGTGCATTCTTGCTTGATATCCTTTATTCATTTAACTTCTTGAAGCTTTGCATTTTCAGATAAAGATAAGGGCGTGACTGTGTACACAAACTTGTAGAGATGCAATAGGGCTGATGGGTGGGTGATGCGACAGGTCTGTCATCTCTCATCTCTATATACTGCTGTTAACAAGGATGTTCTCTCTGGAGACAACAAACTCTCCCTAAGCGTGAAGAAGGGCGTTTGTGCCAGAAAGCTTGCAAAGAACAATTTTTCCAACTATTTAGTTGGTCTAATAAAAGATACCACATCTACCCAAAGAACTTTGTCTAGCTATGATCGACACACAAATTCATGGTTGGAGAACTGAAACTAAGCAACATAGCGATGTTTAATGGGATCTTATAGACTGAGCACTGAGTTCCATTGGGTAGAGTGGTTTTCTTTAAATCTTTAAGAATCTATAGAGGAACTTCTGGAAACCCCATCAAATTGGGCCCCTAATATAGTCCGTGGCTTGTTGTGACCCATTTATCAAACTTCTAAAAAGGTTACATGAATATATAGTCTCAAATAGTATATAATTCAAAGTTATAATCCCTAGTCCATGATAATATCTTTGAGCTTTAACATATCTTTATAGTTTTTTAAAGCATCTTAAAAAATATAATTAAATTTTAAAAAAATCTGATTTAAATAAAAAAAATTCCAATTTTTTTTAAATGTTGATTTTTATCTACCCTCCCTACCATTAAAATTCACCACTGTCCTCCCCAAGCAAGAATCCATGATTAAAAAGGGAAAGCTGAAGCAGTTACCTCTGTCATGGAGTAGCCAGCTATCTCTACTACAGCTGCAGTAATCTTCTCTGGACTCTTCTCCAGGCTGCCATACTCACGAACAAGACAGCGAACATTCACAGGGTGAAGGTACATACACTGTCCATCCTCCGCTGGGAAGTAAAAGATTTACTGGTTATAGTACAGTGCAGTACTGGTTACAGTAAGGCTGCTTACAGATGTTTAAAAAAAGTGGCACTTTAAACTCCACATGCCCCCACATGAAGCCCAGTGCATGCCCAGAAGAGGCATAGTGTTAGTTGGACCCAGCTTGCCCAACATCTGTATAAACTGGGTGCTATAGTGGCGCTTTTTTGGCACTTTTATCTAATAGACTATTAAATAAGCTTTAGATAAAAGTGCCAAACCCCCCCCTCCCCCCAATGAAGTGCACAATCTCCATAGATGCTGCGGAGCTGGGCTGAACTAATCCACTGCTTCTTCCAGTAAAGCATGTATTGTTGTGTCGTCCCCCCCCGCCCCTTAGTCATTTCTTCACCTGATAACTTTTCACAGCATACTCTTCTTCCAACTCTTAATTTCAGGCATCAGTGATAAAGTTCAGATGCCTTTCTTTGACAAGTCTATTTTTAATACAATTCAACAAGTTTGTAAGTCTACTGAAGCTATAAGGGTCCTTCTGTGACATTTCTGGAAAACACTTCTCCCCTTGACTGCAGACTGCACCATACTAACCTTGGTAGAAGTAATAAAAAGGAGAGTTGCTCAGATGTCCACTGGTAGTTGCATCTTTAGTTTTCTGACAGTTAGTTTCAGCTGGACTGCTCTCTGTTATACTATTCACATCTGGTATGTCCATAGTGCCCACTTCAGGTACCTTCCCCTCATCCATCACTCCCTCTCCTGCTTCTGTAGGAAGCAGAAAGGAGCTTGCAGAATCCACAGAGGAAGCTTCCACTATTTCTTCATCAAATGCAGATAGATATTCTAGAACACACTGTTAGAACAGAAAAAGCGATGTACAAATTATTATTCATGCCATGTCAGCCCATTTAGAATCTCTAGTACACAAGCTTTCCAAAGGAAACTTATACATACACCACATACCCACCCACCCATCCCCCACAGCTGTCCTTATACTACAGTAAGGAGACAGATTCAACCACGGTTAGCATCGGTTAGCATCTGTTCGAGAGGGAAGGGAAGGAGACCACCCACCTTTGTCTCCTGGGAAACTGGAAACTCTATGGTCTCAGAACCCTCTAGGGTCAATTCCTCTACAGCTGCTGTGGCTCCTGCAATGTCACAGTCTTTAATCTGGTCAGGAGAGAGGGCAATCTCTCGCTCCTACAGGCCCCCCGAAGAAAGATAACAGGTTTGCATTACACCAAAAGAATTGTCACTACAAAAAAAAACAGCAAAACTATACACGCACTGCTAGTCTTTTCCCCCTACATTTCACAGTAGCCATAGAATGGTATTCTCCATTACAGAGTGGTCATTAGATGACAGAAGGAAGTGTGGCCTCCACAAGCCATCTTCTACGTACTGGAAATTCTCTCAAAACAGGACATCATACATGTTTGAAAACAGGCATTTTAAGAAGGCAAGAGAACTAGAGTTAGCTATGCCTGAGATAAGGAAATCACAGCTTCCTCTACTGAGAATTTTCCACCACTATCTCTATGGTAAGGACCACATTCAAGAGCTGATGGGTGCTGTGTGGAGTACATTTCTGTCTGGGTTTGGGGCTTATGTGGTTACTCCTTTCCAGGATTTACATAGTTGCTTAATGCCTGGTGGTGCTCTGTGAGCAATTCCAAGGTACCACATTACTGATATTTGACACAGAAACTGAACAATCATATGACTACAAACAACTCCCTATTGTCAAATCTTCTGAAGTAGCTGTTAACTGGATGCCTCATTTCATTCAAGAAAAGAAAAAAAAAAAGTCACCATTAAGATGCCCCACAGAAGGAGCATCTCACCTTCAGTTCCTGGATAGCTGCCTCAATGAAGCAGGCCTCAGAAGTGTGTTTCTCCTCCTCATACTGTCGTAGCAGCGCTGCTTTCTCTTCCAAGATCACCCACTGCAGCACTTGCTCCCTGGAGGCCAGAAGCAACTTAGAGTATTGGCTGTGCTGTTCATCTGACCAAGAAAGAATATCCAATAAGGTATCTTTTGTTGGTATGCCATTTTACAAGTTTCAAGTTAAAACTCTGATCATTACAGCTGAGTTAATATCTCCTAGTGGTCCAGCCCACAAAAATAAGAGTTACTTGTAACCACAATTACAGATGAACACTGCATTTTCTTATTCATGGAATGCATTACCAAGTGCAATTGACACAAGGGAACCTTCTCATGGCAGTTCCTATTAAGGGTGATCCTGTACACCTTCTGCCAAGCAGGGCTATGAAGAGATTTACCCCACTACTGCCTAAGTTCTTTCCCCACCAGCTCCTCATTTAGGATGTTACAGGACTTTTCAAAGAAGAAAGCTTGCGGAAGACAGTAAAAACTGTGCAGAGTTCATTTTTACATTCTCTGGATACAAACAAGTAGCCCCCACCCTGAATATCCCTACCCATGGTATAATTTGGTAGGCTGTACTCAATGAATGAGGGAAAGGAAGGAAGATGATCAAGTCCTAAGTGAACTAGGATTGCAAAACTGTATAGTCCTATTGACCTGAGTGATACAGAAACCCCAGAATCCAAGAAACAGCATGATACTACACAAACACAGGCTACAAGAGCTACCACTGTTTTTTTTTTGTTTTGTTTTTTTAATAGAGGGTGTTTTACTGTTAAGAGGAAGGAATGGCTCCAATTTGCATACATGCACATCTCCCCCTACCTCAAAAGTTTTCTGACTAGGAAAGAGTTGAAAAACAGGCCTGTGACGTTTAGTCCTATTAATACTAAGATTTGGCTTAGTAGTGTAGAGATGTGTAACTTTTTAATGTGCTGGAACTGTAAGCATTCAGAGCCTAAACTGACCTTTTCCCCTTAATATGGCTCCTTGAGTGGTATCAACCAAGCAGTTCCATGGCCAAAATAGTTTGAAACCTCCTCCTATCCTCCTTGAATGCTCATGGGGCAAACAGCTGTGGTTAAAACACCTCAAAAGAATGACACTCCCCACCAAGACCAAAGATCTAGTATGCATGTCAGATGCTTGGGAAAACCCTCGACAGAGACAAGCACCATCTTCACTTCTGGTAGAAAGTTTCTCCATAAAATTATTCTGTATTGACATGCTACTACCTCATAAAAGAAACTGAGCAGTGACACTTAAAGGCACAACTATTGAGAACCAAAGTTAGTGTCCATCTGTGGCTACAAGTGGATAAAGGAGCATCATCCCCTTTTATCTCTTTTCACTTTCAGAGCATTCTGGGACCTGGAGGTGAGGGGCGTGTGTGAAGTGAGAGCACTTCTCAAATAAAATCTGACATGGGCTACAGAATAAAATCAAACCTAAAGATCATTCACTGTGCTGATCCCTGGGTTGGGAGGAAAGCTGAGGAGACATACCAAGAGGAAAAAAAAAAGTGACATCTGTACTGGCAATCTGGCATCTGCGAAATGCACTGTTCCAACACTGGATATATTACTGAGTTGGAAGGGCTTTACAACACAGTAACCTGAATCAGTGCATTGCATCCCATCAATTCAAGTTTTAGGGAATGGCACTGTAGGCTTAACAGTTTCACTATGCCAGTTCAGGATATAGTAAATTCAGTTTCTCCAGCTATTAAACCCCTATCCTTAAATGGGATTATCATCTGCCACATCTGAAAAGGGTGGCAAAGAGTCTCAGCTTCTACATCCAAATTTCCTAGTTAGACACAGAGCCAGGAGTTCAAAGTATCAATCTTCAAAAATACTCACCTCCAAGGTGAATAGGCTGTACTACTTTCATCCACTTGGATTTAGGCAATGCTATCAAGACACCTTTCTCTCGTCTCATCAGCTGCATTGTAATGGTGTCACCAATTGCATACTGGCGTGTTTCCATAGCAACAACACTGCAATGCAGGGAGGAGATTAGTAACAAAAATTAACATTAAAAAGAGTGGAGGTATTTAAATGCCCCTTAAGTCTTACCTCTTGAGATCCTTTTTATGAACAGATCCATAACAGATAGGACATTTGCTCCAAGCCTTCTCACTCAGGGAGAGATAATGCAGGATACATGCCCAGCAGAAGATATGCCCACAGCGGGTGATCTTTGCTGCAGTAGGTGGATACAGGCATATTGGGCAGGAGGGTACTTCATGGCTACAAATTCGCTGAAAGAGCAGAAGAAAATAGTTGCTAAGACTATAGATTAAAACAATCACAGAATTTCCTAGAGGATGAAAGCATTTAGACTAGACATGGGGCAGGCAAAATGTGCGCCTCTGGTGGGCAGGCAGGCAAGGCAGGAAAGCCACAGGGGAAAGACAGCAGTGGCAGGCTAAGAGGATGGGCAGGGACAGGCTACTCCTGCTGCATTCTGCAGTCCCAGCACTGAAGCCAGGAGGTGCCCAACCAGGCCGGCCGACTCTGCTATGCAGCTCCCAGCTGCAACACTGGGACCACAGAATGCAGCAGGAGCCAGCCCAGCCCCCACAGTTCCCAGCTGGCACCTTCTGCTACCTCTATCATGGGGGCCACATGCCTGTAGCTCCAGCACTCGCACCAAGGGAAGCCCCGTGCTGGAGACTGCTGCCTTCCCCACCCCCTATTGTGGAGGTCCCCGAACTCCACTGGCAGTGGAGGGAGCCCCACAACCTGCAGAGTCCAGCATGGAGTCCCATGCAAGTGTGGAAGCTGTGGGCACACAGTGCAGAGCCCCTGTGACAGAGACAGGCAGGCAGACTGTGCTCCTTCCCCCACATGCAGCACTGGCCAGAACTATGTCCTGACAGGCACCAGTGACTGCACTGGGCATGAGCTCCCTGAGCCCCTGCCTGCTTTGCTGTCGGCAGCAGGGGCTGTGCACCATGTGGGGGAGTTTCCGCCCACCCTCACCTCACATGCACACCCTGCCCCCATGTATACACACCCCAACATACTTTATTCCCCCCCCACACACAAGCCCACCACATGTACTATAAAGAGACTTTATTTTTGAGTTATCATGCAATCCCTTCTACATACAGCACACAAACACAAATCACGACAAATATTTTTTGTAACAAAATTAGAAGTGTTTTAGTAGGTGTTTGACTTCTAGTGTATGATTTGTTTTTTTTCCTGGTTCTAAGATGGGAACCCCACCACTCCCAAAAGGAGTACTTCCAGGGGCAAGGGGAGGGATTTCCAGTGACAAAGGTCAGGGTTAGGAGTGAAACATCCAGTCCCAAGATGGTGACCAGGGGGCGAGGCACCTGTCAAGGGGCAGGGCTACCCATCCAGCTCTCGACAGGTCACTACATCTCGTTCAAGCAGCCCTCCAGCCAAAATAATTGCCTGCCCCTGGACTAGACCCACTTGAACTTTTTCAAAAGAGCAGAAAGACTAGCTGGAACCCCCCCCCGCCAAATCTGCACATAAATCACACTGTGGAACCATCCACCTGGGCATTTATTGCTGAACAGGACTGTTTATCATTGATTTAAATGTTTTCTTGTGACAGTATCTCCAGAGATGTCAGCACTACCAGTGAATACACAAAAAACTAGTTTTGCAGGAAAGGATTCCTTGGGGATTCCTCACTTTACAACCAGGCTGTTTTATGTCTGCTGTGTCCAACAGGAACTTGACGAACAAGGCCAGGTGGGGAAAGGGGGGATTTATACAATTCTGGTCTGTGGGTGTGAGAGCGAGCAAACAACATTTCAATTTGTCTAATCTATTAATGACGACTAGACAGGTGCTGCTTTAGGTTTTCAAGATCTATTTAGACTATAGCACAGCGTGTATATGCACGTTTCCAAAGAAGCACTACTCAACAATGAGAAGAACAAACATACTTCCACTCCAAATACACAGCCTACACCACAGACCAAGATTAGCTTTCTGAAAAGCTGTCTTCTTGCTCTGGGTGGGAACCTAGGCTGCTTCAACTAGCTAAAAAATGGCCACCCATGCACAAAATAACAATTTTTACAGGCATTCTAAACAGTATGTTTCTATTAATTCTATCCCTGTCAGATAAAGGTAATGGGGGGAAAAAGTTTAAGCACAGAACCAAGAAAAAGCATTAGAAACACTCAACATTCCTGATCAGCTTTCACATTAAAAAGCAAAGAGGATTATCAAAATGTCCCTCATAACAGGCTCTGGCCTTCCTCTTGTCACATATAGAATATTTCACAATTCATTCCGTATCAGATTCTTCCCTGTCACTCACAATCTGTAAAGGAATAAACCTGACAGCATCTCAATGTTATATGTCAGAGATAACCACAGTTAGAGGCACCTTTTGTACACTGGTGAGCTAAAGAAATTATGATCAGAAATTTTTAAAACCAGCCCTTCACTACTGACCACTTGCTCCACGAAGTCCCAGTTGACCAAGGTATCTGGGTCAGCAAAATGGACTGTGTAGTCCTGATCTTCAGACACCACAAACTGGCAGCTGGAAGGGAGACAAAACCAAAATAAGACAAGCTACCCTACTCCAGCTGTCTCTAGGCAATGGCAGAGGTGACCCTTAGATCAGATTTCTCAAGGGCAAGAATAACCTTTAGGAACAATACCTAAAGGGCTCTTAGCACAGACACTTCTTACTTAGGAGAAGAGACTTGGTAACTATCGACCATGGCCAGCTGGATGCAGTTGGCAAATCCCAACAGGTTTGAGTTGACACTCAAGGAATGTCGAGGCCATACGAATATCCAAGTGCTTGTATCTAATGGCAGTTGAGGCAAGCTAGCTGAAGCACAAACTAAATTGAGGAAAACTCCAAAAATCAATGCAGACAATAGAGCCAGGTGTTCATCAAGGTTAACACAAAGCAGGAAACTACATTCCTAGAGAGAGAATTTGAGATCTTTGTAGAGATTCATTCTGATAACAGAAAGTCAAAATTACTGCTTACTAAAGTAATACAAAAAGATAATGCTAGCAGTTTGGCAATAATTTAGGTAATGTTCAAATAAAGGAAATATTGGAAGTTTCCCAAATTACAGAGGATGTTTACGCTATTAATTAGCAAATGAATTCCATTTCTTATTAAACTGATAGTCAGCAGTTATGAACAGATACAGAATGCATATACATTGTTATGGGTATAAAGTTTTGGTTGATAACGTTAGTTTTTAATGGTTACTAATACTTATCTGTAGAGGTGACTTATATAGATACAATTTCAACAATCTGAAAACTTAATAGTTCAGAGAAACACTGATCCTAGAGTAATCCATTCCTTGATACCTCCATATACTAAAATACAAGTTTCTCCTTCATGTAATGGATGCGCCTGTGAAATAAACTTACTCTTACTCCGTTACGAGGGAAAGGTATTACAGACCCTCTCGACAACAGAAAACATTGAATTTTGCCATTAATGCCAAGCTATACAGAACAACATGTCATTATCTTCCTCCTTCACAGTCCCCTATTTTTATAAATCAGAAAAACTTCTCTTTTTACAAGCAAGACCCTACTATACATGCAAGGTAGCCATCATACCAACATGGTAGAGACAGAACTTCAGCTATTTTTCAGACAGACTCACAGGAATTCAGAGTCATAAGTACGTCATTCCCTGACCAAGCATCTTAAACTCCAATTAGCTTCCACTCACTTGGCCTGTAAGAAGAGCTCCTTGTTGAAGGGCTTATGTCCCCATTTATTTCTTTTCCCCCAGTTGCCAGGTCCATTCCCATCCAAGTGACCTCCTTGGCCACGGGGTTCAAAGGTGAAATTCAATAAGTGGTTCAGGTTAATCTTCTTGGGACCAGAAAATTGGGCAGGGCTGAACTCTGCCCGTTGAGCTTCTGCTACCTATGAGACAGCAATTTTCATTAGAATTCACAGAAAAAAAAAAAAACCTGACACACTATGAAGACATCAATATAAGGACAGATTCATTCCCCTGACAAAGGCACAGTACCCACCCCCTCCCATTTCAGTTCCACAAGTCAAATACTGGTGCATTTGAAGTGCATGAGAATATTGAAGTTAGAACTGAATAATCTTTCCCCACCCATTATCCAAACAGAGGGAAGCAAAAAGCAAGCTATGCAATGAAAAGCAAATGCTGCCTTTCAAGAGAAAGCCCACTAGCTTGAAGCATAGTAATGTACATAACAAATGGATATTTTCAGATTTAAAATAATCATTTTTTTAAAAAAAAAAAGATCAGTATAATAAACCTCAGGATCATTCCAGAGATCAGGTTACATAATGTATATGAAAATTAAGTAAAAACAGAGTTGACAGAATCTGAACTCCGAGTAATAATTGACAAAACCAGTGATGGAGACTAGTAAGTTTTCATGTATTAACAAAAATCCACCAAAAAACCGACACCCCCCCGCCCCCCCAGAATTCAGATTCTAGCTTGATCACAACATGCCTCAACTGGTTATTTTCCCCAATGCTATTTCATAGCATGGAATTCAAACTACCAATATGGTTGGACACAAAAACCTCAGATTTTTAGAAGCAGCACTTCTACAAATTATTTTGTGAAATATTTTTCCCCTCGATATATGCACCCACTCCTTAAATAGAATTTCCATTAGTTGTCCTTTATTTTTATTGTACAGCTAGACAAGCAGAGTCCAGTCCTCTTCTGTTTATACTCCACCTGGCATCTCAGTAATGTTATCACCTTAGGGCTCCTTCCCTTCCCACCCCCAAGTTGGGCATAAAAGGCCTATCTAGGTAGGTCACAGCAATTCTTGTCATCTCAAGAAAGAAGGCCTTGCATACACAGCATTGCAATTCTCACCTCATCTCGTCTTCCACCATTACAAGAGCTAAAAAGTTTGCCACTGCCAGCACTGCCCCCCCTCTGAGGGGGCATCTTATTAAAAGTTTTGCTTTTCTGTGAATTGGAGCGACGGGACTGGCTGCAAAAGTTCTCATTTTTTGAATATGAAGTTTCTCTTTTACGATTGTAACGCTGTTTGGATCCATTTGCATTCTTTCCATCTGAAAGAAAGAAAGAGAGGCAAACTCATGAGCTTTAACACACAAAAAAGCATCACTTTTCTAGTGCCTTTAAACTTCTAAGACAATCACACTCATAGATGCTAGGGTCAGAAGAGACCTCAACAGATCATCAAGTCCAACCCCCTGCCTAGGCAGGAAACAGTCCTGGGGTCAAATGACCCCAGCCAGATGCCTATCCAGCCTTCTCTTAAAGACCCTCAAGGTAGGGGAGAGTACCACCTCCCTTGGAAGCCCATTCCAAATTTTGGCCACCCTTACCATGAATAAATTTTTCCTGATATCTAGCTTAAATCTGGTCTGTCACCAAATGCAGTTCTATACATCTCTATAGGAAGACGATATTGGCACTTATGGATGGAATAGCATGCACCAACTGCAGATGCTTCCTCAGCCTGATAAAGGGTATTTATACCCAAAAGCTTGCCAAGAAGAATTTTTCCAACTCTTTCAGTTGGTCTAATAAAAGATATCAGATTTACCCAAAGAACCTTGTCTGCCTATTGTACTTACTAAGACATACACCACATTCATTGCCACTTAGAGCTCTTACATCAAGCAAAAAGTTAGGGACCATGTGGATGGATTGCCGAATCAACAGTATTACTTGACCATTCTTGAGCCATTCACCTAAGCCAATAAAACACCAAAACCAGACACAGCTACCAGAACCCAAACCAGACACACCAAATCAAAAGCTAAATGAAGTCTCAAAGGTCAGTTTTGATTTTTCTGACAGATACCTGTTAGTTCTTTATTCCATTCTCTGTAGATTTAGCTGATGACATTGTCAACATACTGTCCTGAACATATAAAAGGTACCAGACCGGCCTGCGTTTGTTTCCAAAGCTTTCACCTTGCTCATTCATTATGGCGGTGATGCCTTTGTTTTCTTTATGCCTTCTTCTAGCCCTCTGTAGACTTGCTTCTTAAAGCTCAAAAAAAGACTAATCCACTTTTACATTCCACCCTCCACCAGATCTTCCTGTCATTTAAATGTGTGCACTGAGTTTCCCAAATCCTATTGTGACAGGGAGGCAAATCTCCCAGGCCCGGTCACAGTGCCAGCCTGTCCACCCATCTTTGGGCATACCACCTGCCTTAACAAGGCATGACAGGAAAGTAACTAATTAAGATGGTAATTAAGCAAGAGGCTTCCCTTTGAATGCCCTGATGTAAAAGGGTGGTACATACACAACTCCAGCCTTTCCTTATTGTGTCCCATGCCTTGCAGATGTCATCCGTAAGTTGTGCTATGCTTTGGCTTGAGGCCGAGCCCCAACTCAGGACATTGTTAGGCTTCGCTCATACTGCCCGCCTCTTGATAGGGCCTCTACCACTCCGCCCACTCTCACCAGGCCTCTTGCACTCTTGCCCCTCATGGGGCCACGTCCACTCTGCCCTCCTCCTTTGAGCAACCATGTAGGCCATCAGGCTTGTCTCTACACTCCTTGGCCAGCCCTGGCACAGCCTTTTGGGCCTCTCCCCTTATCTGCATGGTGGCCAGGCAGTTTGCCAAACACTGAGATAACGCTGCCCCTGGCCCTGCACTGGGTAACACAACCCACTGGTTCCCTAGCTGGGGCCAAGGGCACCCCTGGATCTGTGCTGGGCATGCTGCAGCACTGTGCTGGGGGAGAGGGGGTTATGGGTGGGGCTGCAGACACCCCAAATTTTCCCATAGCCCCCTCCCGTTGCTGCTGCTGCTGCCCGCCCCAGCTGCAGATCTGCCCCCCCATGCTCTCCTGGACAAGTGGCAGGAGCTGCCAGTTGAGCAGTGCGCAGCGGCGGGAGCCACTCCCAGACAAGCCTCAGCTCTGTCCTGCCCTGCCCTGGCTGGGCAGTGCCTACCTGAGCCACAGCCTCACTCCTTCCCTCACCATGTGGACATTGATCTGCCCCCTCCACGCCCCTTCCCTTCCCTTCCCCATAACCACAACAGACTTACCAGCTGCATGCTGCTAGGCTCTGCTCCTCGCTCCCCGAGTGCTTTGCTGCAGCTGCACACATGCATAAGCATTTAATCAGCCAAATCAGGCCAATTTCCAATATAGTAAATTTTCTTTATATCTGTGCCAATCCGATAATCAGACCAACATATCAGTGCACCTCTAGTAAGCATACAAGTCTGATACCACATGTCCTGTCTTCCCAGGGATGTTTTCTATGGACCCTGCATAAGGTTCTACTGGGCATCAATCAATCAAATCAATAAATAAAATAAAAATCAGAAAAGCGGCATCAGAACATAAGCCTGTATACAAACTTCTGTTATAACAAGAAGATTTTTAGCGCCCCTCACCCCGCCTTTTTTTTCCTTTTTTTGTTTTGCTTATACAGTTGCGAAACCTACAGTCTCTGCAGGAGCCCAAAAGCTTGGCTCCACTACTAGTGTTAAAACTAGCATCTCAATCATTACTTTTTGCAGTTTTGGTAACCACAGCTTCCACTATTGCCCTTTCCTAGCGAGATTAAATATTCCTAACCAACATTCTGAACTCAACAGCACATTTCAAGTAAGGTGAATGTGAGCGTATTCACAATCAGTATAACTTTCAATGGATATTTCATTTTTCTCTTCCTATGCTCACCAAAATAAGTTTGAGGAACAGTCAGAAAGGCTGTATATACTCCTGCATGAGTTAAAAAAGCCACACACTAGTGTTGTGAAAGCGTGCATAAATTGGTCTAAGGTTCTTTCTGGCAAGAGGTAACTACAGAGGCAGAAAACCAGTTAGACCCATCACACTTTAGAGTAATATGGAAAAAGCTAGAAAGTTATACCAGCTTTCACCGTTCAGCTTCCACTGAAGCCCATGTTAAAATCCTCTTTAGTTCTCTAAATTCTTAGGAAGTCACAGGTACCTCCCACTGGTCTGAAAGTATTGTTGTATGCTAGCATAGGATCTTCCACTTCACAATGATTTAAAGTTAAGACTAAAGCCATAGACCTATCGAATGATTTCTCTTTCTCCAGCAATTACAGAAGTCACAGGGCAACTTTCCAAAAGTGATGCAACCATTTTGACACTGTTTACCAATAGAAAGGGTGACTTCCTCTGCCATTAAAAGCCTGAGCCTGGAGATGTCTGAATTAATGGAGCTAACCAAGAGACTCATCTTTAAGATCTCAGCAGAAAACTCCAAGTTAGTACCACTGTTGTACATTTAAAGGAAAAAAAAAAAATGCTCCTGCAGCACACAGAAAGGCCACAGAAGTCAGTCTGACAGGGCAGGGAAAAAACAGCCTTATCAGAAGATGCACACCAGTTCCAGCCAAGTACCCTGGGTGTAACCAGGCCTGAGTCGGGATGATTTAGATAGACCTTTTATGCAGATGTCAGTAGAGGATAGGTTGTAGTTACACCAATTGAACTAGGCTATGATCTCTGGACAGAATTAAAACACAGACAAAAGACATGGGAAGGCAATTGGCTGTATTAACGTTTAATAGTTTCATCAGTTAACTTCATTACTAACTATATGGAGAAGCCAGATCATTTTTGCAGACTTAAGGTGGTTTGTGTTCAGTGCATTGTAATCACAAGCCTGTCTATATGAAACATGCACTGTAAGGCCAGAGCAACTTTGAGCTTTTCTAACCCATGCTATCCCAGTCATTTTGAAAAGGCATGCTGCTTCTTGCACCTGCTAAGAAGCAATCTTTCATTGTATTTGGCACCAAGGAATTCCCCGCCTCAATATAGCTAAGTTATAGCTGAACAATACATTCCATGTGTCAGTATATTACATATATCCATTCACATAAGGCTCTCATCCACAGCCTTCAGATGTTTGTCCATTCATCACTACAACAGGTTGTACCTTACACCGCATGGGAGCAAAATCCTTAACTTATGCCCCTTCAAGCAAGAGCCCCAAGTGGTGTAGACATCTTGCTGTCACTATCTTACTGGCTGTAAATAAGACTGTCTGCACCGAACTTCCTGGAATACTCGGAAAACTGACTGGGTGATAACTAGACAAAATTAAAACCAAGAACTCAGGAGACATAACATCTAGTTTTACATTTTGTAGATCCACATTTTCAACCATGCTATTTCAGGAAAACAAGCAATCTAACAGAAGTGCTTTTCCTTCTAGCCCTTTTGGCAGGCAACCCAACAAAAACAAGCTTCTATTTCCCCCAGCTTCAAAAGAATCAGAAGTTTTACAGAACACCTACCCATTTACTGCCAAAATATCCACCATTTACTCAGGATATGATTCTCTGCCTCCCCACCCAGGACTCACAACAAGCCACTTCTGTTTGCTTTTTGCATCCATTTGGTTCCCAGTCCCCCTTTAATACTACTGTAGTTTCCAAATAAGCACCCCCACATAAGCCTTGCCATTTGTCTCAGCCCAACAACTATCAGCCTGGAACTGGTGCACTTTAGCTAAACAAAGCTTGTTTCTAGTAGTTACATCTACTTTGTCTCAACCTAAGTTAATAAAATAACCCTTTTATTACATTTCCTGGCTCTAATTTTGGGGGGAGGTGGAGAGAGGGGAGATTCCCCAGTCAAGGATTGGGGGATCACTTTTCATTTGGAAAGGTGATATCAAGTTGTAAGAACTACAGTATTCAAGACACCACAAGGGAAGGGAAGGACTACAACCACAAGGTATACGTAGTGCTCTAGTTGATCATACCCTTTATTTTTGAGCATTTCCCCCAGCATGTGAACTATTCACAAGCCTCTGGATGATGCAACAGCTTTGTTTGTTTTTTGAAAATGGACATAGCTTCTCTAAGGTTCCTTTTAAAGTTTTATCATTAGTGACTTAAATGCTTTTCCAGTCCAACCCCCTGCCTTGAAGCAGAACAAACATCTGTCAGGGATGTTTTCATTTAAAGTGGTAAATAAAATGTCTGACACCTGCAACTACTAGAGAGTAACTAGATGCAGAAAAGGCCAGAAAAGTTGATCACTTTGCAGTATCAATATCATGCAAGGCATGAAGAGTGTTAGTATACTTTACTAGCCCTAAAACATAGTTCATTTTTTTAAGTCCTTTCAGGCTACCTTGATACATCATAATAGACAAGTATGCACAACTCCCAATTTTTTCCACCTTTGAAGTTACTTGAGAAACAAATGACTTAGAAACCTGAACATGTAACATTCTAATTTTGACAGCACTTGGCATAACCTTTTTGCACTAACACCTAAATTATCCATCTTATATTTAATGCAAAGTGGAAGGATCTTTGTGCAAAATTCTTCTATTCACTGCTTATGAACAGACTGTCCTAGAACCAGCTCCCTTCAATGTGAGATTTTGGATTTGTTACCCTTCCTGTCCTACAGCACTACCAATATAATTTCTGAGGACAGACCTTACTGAGCAAAGCATCATACCCATACATTAGCAAGCATCACCTCTGCTCCCTTTTTAAAATTACGTGAGCCAAGGAATAGCACAAGGCCACTCTGGTCGCAAACAGACTATAAACCAGTTCTCAATCTTATGATATCAGACCCAAATGTATAGGGGTCTACTTAACTCACCACAACACAAAGCAATTTTCTGCAGCTTTATTAAGGCTCAAAGAGCACATTTCGCAGGCATTTCCCAATGCCCCACCCCTCACTGCTGACTGGCAGAGGCATATACTATGTAATTAAATAGGGAATTCCACAGAAAGTAAATATCATTGAATTTATCTTATAGTAAGTTTAACAATTAAATTTAAATATACTATAAATTGTAAATGAATATACAATATGAATTGCAACTTATATCATAATGATGATATAAGCGTTCTAAAAAGTTTAGAAATATTAATTAATGCTAACCTTAACAGAAACATGTACGTTTCACTAGCTGGCACCTTCACTTAGTGCAGTAGCTCCCAACCTTGGGGCATGACCCAAATCAGGGTTATGGGGGGTCCACCCCTTGCTTTGCCCCTCCCATTTGTGGGGCTCTCACCACCACTGTCCCTCCACCCCCCACCCTGTGATCCTGGCCCCGCCCAGGCTCTGCTGGTGCTGCCAGGCACAAGCTAGTTGGCAGCAGGGGCAACGGTTGTGAATCAGATTTAAGGTCACAGCAAAAAAAGGTTGGAAACTACTGATTTAGTCTATGCCACTAGCAGACAGTCACTGTTGCCATAGAGTCCAGGGGCGAGCACTTATTTTGGTCGGAGGGCCACTTACTGAGTTTTGGCAAGCCATTGAGGGCCACATGACAGGCAGCCAGGGGCAGATAAATATTAATATTCTAACTTTTTTAGGGGCCCCACGGGCTGGATAGAATGGCCTGGCGGGCTGTATCTGGCCCCTGGGCCGCATTTTGCCCACCCCTGCCATAGACTGATTTACTGTTATGTTGTCTTTGTATTGCAATAAGCATTGGGAGGTTCTCAAACAGCATATTGTAAGAATAATATGCTGGGTTTGGTTTTTAAGGTTGATTCCACAGGAAATCATAGCCAATAAAATATTTTCTGGTGATCACAGACAATGCAGTTTTTGTAGTTTGCACAAAAACTGCAAATTAAGTAGATCCCTATAAATTTCAGGTCTTTGGGCTGTCTTGTATGAAATCAAAGTTCATACCACCAGACCACCACCCTGCCATCTTCCTTCTCCACATAGGGACAGAATCTCAGAATTGTTTCATAGTCCCCCCAGTCTCCAGATGACCAGAGTTTTTTAACCCTTTATTCTTAGTGGTAAAGATCTGCAGAGAGATCAATAAAGCCCAAGTTCAAACCTGCCACTGACTCAGGTAGAGCATGTTTCCAAAGCTGGTCTCAGTCTCTCTCAAAAGACTGAGTTAGTTCACATAATGTGAAAACACCTTTAAATAAAACCTTTAATTAAAACCTGCTGTGATCTGTCAGATATTTCACAACCTAGCACGGGTGCTCCACATTCCAGTCAGGTCTGTGGGAAAACCAGTTAGAAATACATTACATGTTTACAGCATGCCCTTTGACTGGGGACTGACACAATAACTCCTCCGCTTAACTAGCGCACAACACCTCAGCATTATAACCACTTGTTTTCTTGTAATCAGTTGTCCATACCTACATTCTTCTAGTGACACACTACATTTTTTTTTCTATAACAGGAATGTTATTATCAAGACATCGAAGTACCCAAGAGGAAGGAAATTGCATACAGGCTGTCACAGCATCATTGCCCTACACTCCACCATACAACTACTTTAAAAAAATGGGATACTTTGATACTTGTGTATTCCCCTCCCTCATCCTCAAAGGGTTAGGAACAAGACTAGACAGACACGTGTATCACCATTGGGTATTCCATCGAACTTTAGATGAGGCTGCTAATACACAGGACTTACGACAGGCTTAGTCTAAAAATATTACAGCATTGATTATGTATCAGATTTTTACGAAGAGCTGTGTCAATGTATAATATCTAGATGTGCAGCCAACTCCCAGTTGTATGTAAAATGATACCCTGCCAACCTGAAGACAGGAGTGCAGTGTCAGATACATGGCCTAACAAGCCATTTCTAGCCTGCATGATGTACTTCCATGCCCCATCACAGATGATGCAAAACACAGGCTTTTGAAAAGCCCATCACTTGTGACTATGGGAAGTAGTTTCCAAATCTGCAAATAACCTGAAACAATGGCTCTGAAAACATCAGTGCTCCACCCTGCTTCAAAGGGTTGACTCTAAAGCCAAATGACAATATCTGAATACCAACATTAGTTGCTTCATTGCTCTTCTTTTTATGGGAGGAAATGGGGAAAAGAATGGGACCTCTGGGGAACAGGAGGGGAGAAAATGGAACTAGGGGCTTCTACAGCTAAAGGGGGAAGGGAGAAGAAAAAAAATAAAAGAACAACCATAACCACCACCACCTCCTCCTCAAGCACATACAATAAGTAGCACCAGAGACAAGAAATCCGGATCTTGAAAAGTGTTTTTGTCCTTGGCCCTGTCATAAGCCTCCTGCTGACATTAGCAGCCATTTTGTTGTCAATTGTCTAGTGCACTTAGGCTATATTTATACCCTGATCCATTAAACACAATAAGAGGAATTCAGAGCTCTCCACAGAGCAAGTTTGACATTGATGTACTACCCAGGCCAACAGCCTCTGCATTAGTGCTGGAGTCTGTGAAGCTCCGTGCCAAGCTCCAGCATGTCTTCAGACGGTGTTAGCTCTCTCCTCACCTAAGAAACTCAGGCATGCCCCAGCCTGACTCGACACTCCAGCTTCGAGGCAAAGTCCTAGTCCTGCAGGCCTCTCCTTGTCCTCTCACCTACCCGGCTGCCGTTAAAGGAATGGCACTTACTGAATTTTATTTCTGCCAAAACACAACCATTTCTTGGCCTCTCCAGCAGTCCCTGGCCGTTTCTCAACACCGGGAGCTAGAGCAGGAGGAAGCAAGGCCCGCCTGGGAGAAGGAAATCCTCCCTCGCCCACAGGGGCCGCCTCCCGGGGGTGGGGGACCCGCCGGGCCGTTCGGTCCTTACCGCCTTTGGGCTTAGAGTCGCCGCCGGCGG